TAAATTTTTTTTTTTTTTTTTTTTTTTTTTGCATGTGGGATGAAGTGAGATTTATTCAAATAGCTGTACATGTGATTTAGACTTCAGTTGATACTTAAAGCCAAGGGTGCAGTAGTGATGTCATTGGTTAGTCAGCCAATCAGATGCAGTTGTCTCCATCAATACCTTTTCTGGTTTTTATTTTGTTGTTTGCCCTTTCCTTTATCACTTGCATTTTTATATATATATATATATATATATATATATATATATATATATATTTTGTAAAAGAATGATGTGTAATGATTTGTTGTTGGTTGAGCTTTATTTCTCCGTTAATCTTAGTTGCTTTTTTTGTTTTTGTTCTGGGTGTGTGAAAGAGAAGGGAAAGCACATCTTATGCACTGAGTTAAATGTTAGACGTCTGAAATCTGCTCTACAGACATTTCTTTCTCTCATGATAGTGTGTATTAGAGTTTGTGTCCTATGACAGCAAGAATCCTCACTAGGAAGCTTTTGCTGAGGCCTCTCTTGAAACCCAAAATGAAAACTGTCATCATTTACTCACCCTCATGTCTTTCAAAACCTGTATGCTGGTATTTTTAGTGGGACACAACAACTGTCAGACTCCAAAAAGGACAAAAAAACTCCTTCTTCCAAGTCCTCTGATGCTTTTATGTGAGAAAAGGAGCAGCATGTATTGTTTGTGTTCCTGTTAATCTTCCTCGACTGCAGCTTTCAAATGCGGCAGCGGCACATTGACAGCAGACCTGGTGCAATAATATGCCTAAGAGTTTCGAAGGCGAAGAAGATTAATTTCAACTGAAAACTTGACATGACATTAAAGTGATTAATGATGACACAGTTTTCATTTTTGGCTACACTGTCCTTTTAAAGTCTCATACAAAGACACACACAAACAACCTTCAATTGCAGTAATGTTTTGATAGAGATTTCTGCATTTTTAATGTCTTTCTTCATATAATATAAAGGCATTAGTAATGTGAAATGCAAAACCAGTGCTGTGAATAATTTTGTATTTATTTTTAAATGCTTAGAGAATTTCCACTGTACCATAAAGACAGTCCGTTTTCTGTTTTCAGTCCAAACTTCAGTGTTTCAAAGGATCGGTTTGCGTGTGCAAGTGTATGTGGTCTTTCTGTTGTTGTTTGTGCCCCCTCTCTGGAGATGATGTGACGCTCCTCTTAGCAGCCTGCAGTTAGTGAAATGTTGTTCTCATGTCGGTCCACTAGATTGTGCTCATTTAGGACATAAATACATTCCCTCCTCATGCTCCGAATGGCTGATTTGCCATCCAAAATTGTTCATGTTTTATTTTATGAGGGATATCTACTGTTTTATATTTAACTAATTATTTACTGTGCATTTTTTATTATTTGCATTGTCAATAGCTTTAAAGCTACGAAGGACCATTTTCAAGTAACATAAGTTATATTGTTTTTTTTGTTTTTTTTTATCTTGTTTTATTGAGCACCAAAGTTAGTCAGGGAGGAAAACGGACCTTTTTTCCCTCCGTTTTGTTTATAAATTGTACCGATTTGTCACGCTTCTCAAAAGACTGATCATAAATGCACTTGTCTTTTGTCTATTTCTGTTCAGTACTCAGGAACAACATGCAGAGGCAGATGAGGTGGGTGTGTGTGTGTGGGTGTGTGTGTGTGTGTGTGTGTGTGTGTGTGTGTGTGGAGATGTAGAGGTGTGTGAGGTGTGCTGCGTCACACTGAAGTCCTCTTGTCTTAAAGACTAGCTGTAAATCATGCTCTTTCAAAACAATGGCATCCAAGAATCAATATTAATAAAAAAAATATATTAATTCTCTGCGGTCGCTCCTGTTTGTTTACTTTATTGCGTCTAAAATTTTGCTGCAAACCAGCAGAATTAGATTCATAAAGAAACATTTATATGACTTTGTGGGATGGAAATTGTAATATTTGTACATTTCAAACATGGTACCTTCAATGAATGGTCTCTGGATGTGTGTTCTTGTGTGTGATTGGCTGGATTGGTGAGGGGGAGGAGCTAATGTGGCTGGCAGACCCTGAATAGTCCACAATCCCTGGCTGTGTTCCTACAACGTCATACTTTGCTAAAACACTGCAGAAAACAACAATGCTGCAAATACAGTTTTTTTATTTTTATTTTTTTTTTACCAATCATACAATTCTGACCGTTCAAACCAGGTTTTTGACAAGACTTTTTTTCATCTACATTTATCATTATTAATCATTATTAATCAGTATGTTAAGAGCATTAAATATGTGTGTGTGTGGGTGGGGGTGTGTGTGTGTGTGTGTGTGTGTGTGTGTGTGTGTGTGGAGATGTAGAGGTGTGTGAGGTGTGCTGCGTCACACTGAAGTCCTCTTGTCTTAAAGACTAGCTGTAAATCATGCTCTTTCAAAACAATGGCATCCAAGAATCAATATTAATAAAAAAAATATATTAATTCTCTGCGGTCGCTCCTGTTTGTTTACTTTATTGCGTCTAAAATTTTGCTGCAAACCAGCAGAATTAGATTCATAAAGAAACATTTATATGACTTTGTGGGATGGAAATTGTAATATTTGTAAATTTCAAACATGGTACCTTCAATGAATGGTCTCTGGATGTGTGTTCTTGTGTGTGATTGGCTGGATTGGTGAGGGGGAGGAGTTAATGTGGCTGGCAGACCCTGAATAGTCCACAATCCCTGGCTCTGTTCCTACAACGTCACCATGAAGATCGCCTTGGTGAGCATCTTTTTGCTGATGCTCCTGACTGACATCCACGCCAGCGTCCAAGCACAGAAAAACTTTGACCTTCAGAGAGTAAGAACTTTAGCCGTGTACTTTTCAACACTGAAGCTTTTTTAAAATGACCTCTAGGTTCTTTATCTGTAGGAGTGTAGCATGTTCAGTTATGGACTTGAAGCAACCAATTCAGTTTTCCACTCCTTTGCTGAGTTCAGGCTGGTGTTGTGTGAGATTTAAACTGCTGAATAATGTTAATGTGATGTTTGTTCAGGGAAGTTTGAGTTTTTCTTGTCTAGGGCTTAAATACTGACATGAACAAGCTGTTTCTCCATGTTGATTAGGGTAATGCTCTACAGGGTCGTTTGAGGGGACACTCTCAGACGGCAAATGCATTAACAGTAGAGACAGAGCAGACAAACAGAGCTCAGGGCAAAGGTCACGCGCTCAGTGTTGTAACAAGGAGTGGGTGATTTCTGCTCATTATGAAAAAAGACACTTGTTTTTTTAAAAGGGAAGACAAAACATCAGTGAATAAACAGACAAATAACCTACGGTTCTATTTTTGTTTGGCCATTAGTATCACGCTTATTATTTTTGGCTGGATTCTCTGTTGTTTTTCCAAAACATCCTTGTCTAATTATGCTTTTCATATGTGATGTCTGTTAGTGTGAGCTGGATTGTGTTTGTTCAGTTTGCAGGGAGGTGGTATTGGGTCGGTCTGGCCTATGATTCTCCAGGTTTTGTGCGGTACAGAAGCAAACTCACCATCTCTATGGGTACAGTGGAGCCGAAGGAAAACGGGAACATCTACATGACCCTGTGGAGTTTAACGTGAGGGACACCCATTTTCACATATGTGACCCTGGACCACAAAACCAGTCATAAGGGTCAATTTGAGATTTATACATCATCTGAAAGCTGAATAAATAAGCTTTCCATTGATGTATGGTTTGTTTTGTATAGGACAATATTTGGCCGAGATACAACTATTTGAAAATCTGGAATCTGAGGGTGCAAAAAAAATCTAAATTAAATAAAAAAAAATCAATGTATATTACTAATCAAAAATTAAGTTTTCATGGAACATGATCTTTACTTAATATCCTAATGATTTTTGGCATAAAAGAAAAATGGATAATTTTGACCCATACAATGTTTTTTTGGCTATTGCTACAAATATACCCCAGCGACTTATGACTGGTTTTGTGCTCCAGGGTTACATATGATTGTTTTCAGAGGAAAAAATATTTGTATATAATACAGTAAAACAATAGAATAGAATACAATACAATATTATTGCAGAAGTTTTTTTTTACATACAACCGGTTCAGAATTTAATATATTCAGAACAACAGCACTTTTAACTCTCAGTTAATAATGAGAAACATATTTCAGACAATTATTTTGTTTTGGCTTTAATTCACTATGAATTTAGAATAGTTCCAAAAATATTATTATCATCCTAAAATTGTTATATATATGATATGATATGATATTAATACACTGTATGATGATTCTTATCTCTCATTTGTCATAGTTAAAGTTAAGAATAGTTTCTAAAATAACTATTATATTATGTTATATGATATTATATTATATTATCACACTGTGTGTTGATTCGTCTCATTTGTCATACTCAAAATAGTTAATAATTTCTAAAATAACTATATTATATTATATTCACACACTGTGTGATGATTCTTGTCTCATTTGTCAGTTAAAATAATTAATCGTTTCTAAAATAACTATATTATATTATATTCGCATGCTGTGTGCTGATTCTTGTCATTTGTCAGTTAAAATAGTTAAGAATAGTTTCTAAAATAAATGTAGTTTATTATATTATTATATTATTCACTCGTTGTATGATGATTGTTGTCTCTGTTGCGTGTGATCATATGCAGTTCCTCTGGCTGTCATTCTAAGGTCTACATTTACAAGAAGACGTCTGTCCCCGGCGTATTCACCTACTACAGCACTCGTGAGTCAACATATAAGACATATATGACTGATCAGTACTGAGAAAATGATACTACAGTTCAGTTTTTTTATTGTTACTTGAAGGCCATAAAAGGGTGAAAGATGTTACTGTGGTGGAGACAAACTACACAGAGTACACCCTGGTGGTCCTCAAACATGAGAAGTTTAACAAGATCTCATAAGTGGCCCTTTATGGTGAGTCTGAGATTAACAACAGGATCGACTCAAGCTTTCTTGGAGGGCGTATTTTGTTTTTGCCATTTTTGGTTTGACTTTGTGAGTTGTTCTCAGTGCCTGTAATTTCACTGTGGGTCGTGCTAAGAAGTTGAGGGCGGATGTGATGGAGAAGTTCAGAGCGTATGCCACAGCTCAAGGATTCCCTAAAGACTCCATACTGACTCCACCAGCTGCTGGTAAACCACTCAAATCACTTACACCCGCAAGTTCGACTTTATTTAGATAGTTCACCCAAAAATGTCATCATCAAAAAGTCATCATTTACTCACCCTCATGTTGTTCCAAACCAGTTTGAGTTTCTTTCTTCTGTGTTTCTTCAAAAGACGATATTTTGAAAAATGTGGGTAACCAAACAGTTTCTGGTAGCCATTGACTTCCATAGAATGTAAAGAAATAGTATGGAAGTCAGTGGCTACCATCAACTACTTGGTTACCCACATTCTTCACATGATCTTCTTTTGTGTTGAGAAAGAAACTCATACAAGTTTGAAAACAACATGAGGGTGAGTAAATGATGACAAAATTTTCATTTTTAGTTGAACTATCCCTTTAAGCCACACTTAAGATTGAATGGAGGAGGATTTGAATGATAAAGCAATACTGTTCAAAACGACATCAAAAAAATATTTGGATAATTTTGTAGTTGTCAAACATGGCTCATGTTCATAGATAAAGTGATTGTCTACACCTGTGTTTACTCTGATAGGACATTTGATGAGAACATTTTTTGATATTTGGTTTGATATCTAACACAGTGTGTCCGAAATTGCACACTGTCTGAGAACGTACTACATTTGAATTTGAACTTATTTCACAACCGTTAAAAAGTATGTTCTATATAGTATGAATATGGGTAGTATGAATGAAATTCGGACGATGACATGTTGTCATATGCCTTGTTGTCATTATCATGTGAACTGCCAGCGTCAGTTGCGCTGCTTCACTTCCTCTCCCGTGGCCTCATGGGATAGTAAAGTGTTCATCGACTGCACACTTCAGAATCCAGGCAAAAATAGTAGGTCATTCAGATATTTTTCGGCTGCTGTTTTCGAATACTATGAATTCAGACATACTACTTCTTTGGCATACTGTTTTTGGCATGCTATATAGTAGGGAAGTATTCAATTTGGATGCAGTGAGTGAAATTCAGTCATATTTTTAAGTGTGGCCGAAGTACTTTTTTTTTTTTCAGGACTATACAGGGTTGGACACTCAAATAATTGCTCAAGAACAGGCAATTATCAATGTGTGACTGAACCTTTGTTCACAAACCATTTAAGTGTTTATTTATTGTCTAAAATAGTTATATTTTCATAAAAATTCTAACAAAATTTCTAATTTTTGTTTTGTCTTTTTTAGAAAACTGTCCTTGTTTAGGAAGTTAGGTAAGTGAGAGCTTCAAATCTAGTTCGTCAATCCTTGTTTTCTCACCGATAACCTCATGACATTCATTCAGTTTGGCAACTTTGTATATTTTGTTTTATAACATTGTTTTTTACTTGTGTCCTCTTTCAGTTCCCAGTCACATTTAGAGCTGAAGGAAACATTTTTTTCAATTATTTTGTGGCAGTTTGTAATATTGTAACTGATGTCATTGTCATTTGCTGTGCTTAGTTGAGCTTCTCTTGCATTGAAGCTTTTCTTACAGACTCTGTGCTAACAGGAAAAATGCTAACTGCTTACTGTTTGTGACTGAAAAATCATTCTCACTGGATGCCATTTTTGTGACAGATGTTGTTTGGTAATTGTAAATAAAAATCTAATTCTAAAGGATATGGGGAGGTGTCCAAGTCACAACGTCTAGCTACTGGGGTGCCTCAGGGCTCAGTTCTTGCACTTCTCTTCTCTATCTACATGGCTTCACTAGTTTCTGTCATTCAGAAACATGGCTTTTCATATCACTGCTATGCTGATGACACTCAACTCTACCTCTCTTTCCATCCTGATTTTCCGACAATAGCTGCTCACATCTCAGCATGTCTAACAAACATTTCTTGCAGAACCATCACTTTCGCAAACACAGAACTGCTTGTGGTTTCATCCAACCCAACACTTCATCACAATTTCTCCATCCAGCTATGTGCATCAATGACAATTCCTTCAAGGACAGCCAAGAACCTTGGAGTTGTGATTGATGATCAGCTGAATTTCACAGACCACATTGCTAGAGCTGCCCGGTCCTGCCAGATTTACCTTATACAACATTAGGAAGATCAGGTCCGTTCTATCTGAAAATGCTACACAATTCCTTATTCAAGCTCTGTCCAGGCTGGACAATTGCAACGCCTCCTTGGCAGGTCTTCCAGCCAGTTCTATCAAACCTCTACAATTAATCCAGAATGCGGCAGTAAGATTAGTCTTTAACAAACCGAAAAGAGTGCATGTCACACCTCTGTTCATCAACTTGCACTGAAGGCATTAATGTTTGCCTACAAAACAACCTCTGGCTCTGCGCCCCTTTACCTAAATTCACTACTTCAGATGTATGTGCCCTCCAGAAGCTTGCGTTCTGCAAGTGAACGGCGCTTTATAATACCATCCCAAAGAGGCACAAAATCACTTTCACAGACTTTTACCTTAAATGTTCCCTGCTGGTGGAATGACCTGCTCAACACGATCTGAGCAGCTGAGTCCTTAGCCATCTTCAAGAAATGTCTAAAGACACATCTCTTCCATCTACACTTGACCCTCTAACACCTGCTCTCTCTATTCTATTTCTATTCTATCTACTTGTTTTCTTTTTGTTTATAAAAAAAAAAACAGAACCCTTGACCCTTCAACACTAGCATTTTCTATTGTTTTTCTATTCTATCTACTTGTTTTTTAATAATAACTTGACCCTCTAACACTAGCTAGTTTTGTTTGTTTTGGAAACTTAAAACATTATATAAAGCAAAAAAAAAAAAGCTCTTTTTAACTCTTACATACTGAATTATGGGAATATTATGGGAATATTAAATAGATTCATGCAAATATTAAATCTTCTATTTGTTTCAGCCAAAGCAAACAAGAACATAAGGCACAAACAGGAGTCAATAGGCAGATAAGGAGAACTTTGTTCTGTTTGTTTTGTTGGACTGGTTTTGGGGGTGGTATTGCACACATGGCCAGCAGGTCGATGTCCTGTGGATGATAGAGACAGTCGTGGTTTTTCAGAACTTCATTTGGATCACAGACAGTCAGAATGAAGTGTGTTGTTCTAGTGTTTCTGCTGCCGCTCCTGGGCCTGTTGCATGCTGGGCCGCTGCCCGATGAGCCCGTCCTCCAGCCCCAAGAGAACTTTGATGTGAACCGGGTAAGTTATGCTTTTTTGGAAGTTTAAGTGAATGTTTGTGCATAGAGGAGACCAGGACTAGTTGTCATACTTTTTACACTTACATAGAATATTTCTATATAGTCAGTTTCTAAATAGACACAAACACATGAAAATGCCTTGAATACAAAAAACTACTCAACATTTCCACTGTTAGCCCAGAACAAAAAAGGCATAGTTCATTTATCACTTATTGTTCTTTAGTGACAACATGCCCCAATGGTCACACTAAATGTGGTCTGTTGTCACAATGGCAACCTGCTTATTTACACTAATTTTAGAAAACACCTTTAAGATAAAAAAATCTGTATTTAAAGTGTTTTATAGGCCATTTACATTTTGGCAATATGTTACATTCTAATAACTATAAACTATATGGGAACAATTTTTATGAAAAAAGGTATATAAAACAAATTTACATACAATATATACAATTGTTTTTAACATGAAACAAATATGTGACCCTGGACCACAAAACCTGTCATAAGGGTCAGTTTTTTTAAATTGAGATTTATACATCATCTGAATAAATAAGCTTTCCATTGATGTATGGTTTGTTGGGATAGGACAATATTTGGCCGAGATACAACTATTTGAAAATCTGGAATCTGAGGGTACAAAAAAATCAAAATATTGAGAAAATTGCCTTTAAAGTTGTCTAAATGGAAGTCCTTAGCAATGCATATTACTAATCAAAAATTAAGTTTTGATATTTAAGGTAGGAAATTTACAAAATATCTTCATGGAACATGATCTTTATGTTCTGGAACAGTGTTGTAAATACAACTTAACCACTGATTTCTAGTTGTGTCCTCTTTTGGAAGACCAAACAAAGTAGTTTCGCTTTTACAACCAAACACACGGCCGGCTTGAGTGAGCAGAGGCCGGTGGGCTTGAGAACGGCGCGGCCGGCGGATTCGACGAAGGGACATCTGGAGGGCTTGCGGCAACCACACGTGACGACGCCGGGCTGGACTCCGCTTCGTCCACGGTGAAAGCCGATCCGGTGATCCACAGCGCGAAGTTGATGTATTTCCTCAGCGACCAGCACGGATCAGCTCCAGGCATGACGAAGCGGATATCGTCCTCTTTTGGAAGGCCAAACAAAGTAGTTTCGCTTTCACAACGAAACACACAGCGTCTTCACGACATGGAGGCGGCGGCAACAACAATACTACAGCGAGAATAAAAGTTACGCCTTCTTTCTTTGCGTGAACATTTGGGCTGCGTTATGCAAATCTTCCCACATAGCGAGGTAGACGTGGGGGCGTGTTAGAACGAGCCGTTTTAGGTAGGTGTGGCTGACTCTGAACTTTTATAAAGAATATCTCGTTGGATTTGAGACTTTAGTCTTTGCAACTTTACAGATCTTCTTTATGCACCAAGAGCTTGTAACACTCCAAAGAGAAAGGAAAAATTGAAATCACATCATATGACCCCTTTAAGACTGGGTTTGTGGTCCAGGGTCACGTATGGAACAAAGCAGTTCATAAAATAGGTGTTTAAAAGATTGTATAGGCTATTTATTTGCATATTGGTGATTTTGTTTTTATATTGTAATAAACATTTTTTGAGAAAGTAGGCTATATAAAACAAAATTACATATGATATATACAATGTTTTTAATATCAAAATATGTAGCAAAACAATTCATGAAATAGGTGAAGAAAAATCATCTCTATTTAATAGGTGTTATAGGCTATTTCTTTGTATTTTAGTGTTTTTTTTATATTTTAATTGACAAAATATTTTATGAGAAAGTAGGTTATATAAAACAAGAAATTTCACAAAATATAAAAACCTTTTTAACATTAAATAAACAAAACAAATCAAGTAAATTAAAAAAAAATTGT